GTCGTCTACCTTCCTGAAGAACACTTCTGAGCAACACTCTACGCATGATCGATGAACAGCATCAAGAAACAGACACAAAATGATATCGATCGCGATGTGGGCAAATGGAGCGAAATAAAGTTGCCTAAACATTTACACTGACATGATTGTTTGAATGGCAGAAAAGACCTGTTATTGGAAAACCGTGTGCGAACAAAGTAGTCAATGAAAGCTCAATTATGAAGAAATAAAATGTCCGTAATTTCGGATGAAGATTTTACTGTTTGAATGGCAGCATCCATCAAACGACACCTTTTAGTATAGATGACATAAAACACATTCTGCCATTGTCACTAACTTCATGACAACAAAGAATCTTCGATGACGAGAAATCAACACAGTAGCGTTACTTATAATTACCACCTTCACAATGTCAATATTCAAAATATTCAAAGGTATCAGACAGTCTGTCAATGCTTACTGATAAGCATGATCACACAATCAACCTTGCGTTTTCAAATGGAAGGTCAACCTCGATAATGAGCATAAACTTCAAACCTAAAGTTCAACCTATCAAGGTTCTGCCTGAAGAAGATTACAATCTGGTGCATAAAAAATTTAATTTAACATTAAAAATAAGCAAAAAAAGTTAGCAGTTTTTTCTTAGCAAACCATAATACCGGAGTAATTTTGTGTATAACAATGACCTGCCAAAATTCTGTTCGAAATTTTTTGTCTGTTTGAAAATATTACAGAGTCTTGCATATCAGACAGCATTAATCCATTACGAGTAGTGCTTACGGGACAGCATTTGATGGTAAAAAGTATAGAAGCGATGGACACAGATCACAACAATCTTCCCTGAAGGAGGTTCACCAGTGCATTCTCATGTCCATTTATTGGACTTTAATCTAAACATTAGCTTGCCTGAGAAATTCTAATGTTGATAAGAAAAGAATTGTAGCGTTGTGGGTTTTTGCTTGTCAACATGTCTCACAAAGTCAGAACAGTGCCATTCCTGTGGACAAGGGTTGCGGCATTGACAAGCCATCGGAGTAAAACTCTTAGGAAACAGTGAAGAGTGGAAGGCGATGTCACCCTCTTATATTTTTATGAGTGGGGCCAGTTATGGAGCATTTCATTTTATGGTACCTACGGTCTCTAAAAGCGCTGATTTCCGTTTTCATATTATTAACCCAAGAGGCCTTATTCCAAAGACATATTTTAAAGCGATGCAGTAGGGGTAGCTTACAGTTTCTGTTTTCAACCAACAGAGAGGCCGCCTTTATTCAATAATTCTGCGAAGGAACGTCAGTAATTTGAGCGGGTATCGATCTCGAGACTTCTTCATTACAGTTTCGACGCTATGCCAGCTTAGACAGTTGGAGACTTCACGATGGATCAGATTTTCCTTTTTCTGCCTGTTTATATTAAATCTCCGTTTTTACATATTACCTCGTGCACAATTTTTGCACTCCTACTTGAGAAAATGGATCCTTTTCCTCTATCTTTTGGCACATTTTGACGAATAAAGTTTCAATTTGAATGAAATTCGATATTTCGACAATGCGAATGCTACTCTTCTTCGAATGAAATTAGCACTCAGATTAGTCAGACTATTGTATTACAGCATTCTAAGCCGAACGTCGCTGAAGGCAATGATGGACCTTGCTACACATTACACACATTATTACTGAAACAAACTGCTAAAACTCAATACGTAACCACTGCCAATAATGCCTTAGTTTGTTGTGCATTGGTGTTCATACTGAAGTTTGAAATACAGCACAATGTGGATCATGTATGCACAATACAATATAATCAGTCTATTGGATGATTGATCGACCATTCGGTATCCCCATGCCTGAGATACATCGTTCATAGGTTGATTAGATC